CCACACTTGTTCTCTACCTGTTCCTGGAAATGTGCCCAACAGTAGTCTTAGATTCTGTGGGTCCATCTGCATGAGATATTTACTGAGAGTTGCCTAATTAGCTCCACAATAAAGCAGCTCTGTCTACACATGCAGAGCTATTAGGCCAGAGTAAAACTGATTAACTCTGCCATAGTTTAGTGCTTCTTAATACAAATACTATCCTATGGCTGAGTTATTTACTCCACTGCAACACACATGTAGATGCTGGCTGGGGCATGAGGCTGCTACAGTGTGGGGCTGCCTTCTGGCTAGCCCTGGCTTGAAGTACACTCATGCCCCAGCCAGCGCCTTTGCAGCATGCTGAGCCAGGTCAGAGCAGCCCTGGACTGGCAGGCTGACCCTCCAGGGTCCCCTGACAGTCCAGGCTGTGTCACCCCAACTCTGCGCTGCAGTCCCACAAGCACCCAGGAGCAATAAATTCCAGCATGAACTGTGCTGTAGTTTATTCAGCTGGTCTAATTTCATGTGGAGATGTGCTCTGTGTCTTGGGAGTACGTTTTGGTGCATGCTCAGCACCACTCTAAACCTTGCCTCATTTCAGAACTTGGTGCATCTGAAGCAGGAGTGAGTGGGCAGGGCATGCTTCATGCTAGTGTTCCCAGGTATGGCACAGATGTGGTATAGGTATGTCCTTGGAAGTCAGCAGCTACATTTTGCCTCAATCCCAATTGCGGTGCCCGGGTCCTTTTGTAGTTCTGGCCCTGATAGACTAGCTTTCAGGATTTCTGTGGACATCTCTTTGGTTAGGGATAGACATTCAAAAAAGCCTGAGCCTGAATTGATTCAATCTTTGCAAGTCAGTCTAACCTGGCTAGGTTGAACTGGTTTGAAACCAGGCAGGCATTGTGTCTGGGCTAAGGAAATTCAATCACATGACTGCAGTGGCTCAGGCTAGAAGCCAGAGGGCACTAGAGCAGCCCCCCCTTTTCCTTCTGCAGGAGCTGAGCTGAAGGGGGTGTGGCCAGGCCCTGGCAGGACTCTCTCATTAGGGATGTCAGCCTGCATGGTCTCAGGTTTTTCCCCGCTGGCTGCTCAAGTGGAGGGAGTGTTGCTGGCCCTGGGGCTAGTACTCTGAGGCAAGGGGAAAGAGGGGTGCAGTGCATGCATCTGTTGATAATATGGAGCTTTTCAATCTCCCTCCCTGCTTCATCATGCAGCAAACTGACAGGTGAGCAAGCCAGCTGGGGAGCTGATAACAGTTTTTATCACCTGATTAGTAAAAAAATAGCCTCTCTCTACATTACTTCAGACTTCTTAAACAGCTTACTGACTGACCTGTTGATTAGCTCCAAAAACCCTAAGCTGTCCCTGTTCTGTCTGCCTATCCCAGTGAAATTGGAGAGAGAGACACACACAGACACCTCTCGACATTAGCTAGCATACCACATGCTGGCTACAGTCCCTGCTGTGATAGAGAGGAGGAAGGGATCTCTGCTTAAGCAGCAAGTGGTGAGCAGGGAGGAGAGGGAGACACAGGGAAGCCAGCAGATCCTGCTGTGCCTGCAAGGCTCTGCTGGAGCTGCAGCCAGGGAGCAGAGGGGAGAGGCCCTGGCTGCCTGATATGGAGCAGAGAGCCCTGCCCAGCCCAGAGAGCATGCTGGGATGCTGAAGGACTCATTTAACTTAAGCCAGCAAGGGGTCTGGGACAGACATTTCATAAACAGGTTTGAGCCAAATCAGTCGAGTGTAATACTACATTCAACCAGGTTTGTCTCAAACCGGTTTCAGCCATTTTCAGACTGGTTTATGTGCACTGAACATCTGTTCTGTTACAGATTTAAACCAGTTTCTGATCACTTAAATCAGTTTATGTGTAATGTCTGTCCCTAGCCTTTGTGAACCAGCTGACTCAGTATTCATCTTCTCGTGCATGACAGCAGTTTGAATATTTCTCTCATACTGACTTGCATAAGCTGATGGCAAAGCCAGAAACAGAACCTCATTTTCATGACTTGGGTGCTATACTTTAACCATGCCTTATCCCTGTGAATTTTGGTGCCTTTTGGTTCATATAGTTGGACCTAAACCAGTGCCTTCTGCACTCAGTAACATTCTAACCCCTCCCCCCCCCACTTAGTTTTTATATTCTTTGGAACAAGACCAGATGCTAATTTTATTCTAATTTACTTGGATATTTTCTGCCTAATGCTATATTGAATAAATTAGTATATTTTCATGAACTTTTATATGAGAAGGAAGAAGGATTTTTTATTAAAGAGCAGTTAGGTAAGCATTAATGAGGGAGGAGCGGTTTTGGGGACCCCCCCCCCAAAATGAAAGCCTCTTGATTCTTTGCCCGTTTCTGAGGCAGGGCTCCAGAGGAAATGATCCATTTCTGAAATGTCTTGTGATCTCATCATTTTCTTTTTTATTTCTGCACTTCTGAGTTTTCTGGTAACAGAACTGGAAGAGCAGAAGTTCCATGAGAAGAAGAAAGTGCTTCCCTTAGTGATCCAAACTCAGACGATTTAGATGAGCTTCATATAAATATCAGAGCTTAAGCTTATGCATTGGGGACTTTGGCATTCAGGTACCTCCAAGCCTCATCAATTGCTAGCTGCTATTTGTTTCAGATATTGTACAAACGGTTCACCTTTGTTAACTTCCAGAGTTCCTGTCATGTATGCTGAGTCAGGTAATTTAAGAAAGAACAATTACAAATGTGTATGAGCTATATTTGTGGGTGATGGAAACTAGATTTCTGAAAACTTTGTGAAGAACTAGTGAGTCTCATCTGTTTTGGACATTTAGGAGCACATTCTAATTCACTTTCAGGCTTTTTAACAGAACGTAGCCATCTAAAAATAGGTACAAAGTAGGCAGATTTTAGATATTACCCCCACCTGTGTGACTAGACTTGTCCCTTACAGCATGCCTAAAATGCATTCATTTATGATGCGTTACAAATCTCCTATTCCTATGCAAAACACTCACTCCTCCTGGTTTTCTCCAGTTAAAGTTTTAGTGACTTATGAAGATTCCTGAGCATGCTCAGAAGGACAAATCTATTTGTGTACCTGGGAGTAGGACCTAAAATCCACTTAAGTGGCAATAATTCATTAACCTAGCTGTGTTGTGCTGATAGAGCTATAATGCTCATTCAGAGCTAACTTAGTTGTCTTTGCATTATAGCAATTTGTTGTGTAGACATACCCTTTTTAAAACCCTGATAGATGATCAAGCAAATTCTGATGGATAATATCAAAATCAAAATAAATAACTTAGGATCTGTAGTGCTTTTCTTCCCTTTCCATTGTAGGGCTGCTGCAATACCTTTGCTTCACACACTTTCCAATATAATGGAGCGTATAATACAGATTAGACACAGTACTGGTTTTATCCTAATATTTTTTTTCAATATCTTACTAGTATGGGTCAGATGGTACTTACTACCTTTCTAGTTATATGGGTAAAACCTCAATGAACACTTACAATGGACTGGTCCATTGAGCTTACTAGACTCTCTGTAATCGCCTAATTTAGGAAGCAAGTGACATTTTTGTTCAGTTATGGCAGATGACTTTAAAATCTTATGAGAGCTAAGGTCCCAAAGCAGGAAAGCCCTTAAGCATGTCTTTAAGTCTATATCTGATACAGTATATAAGTACATACTCTACTGTAAGTCCTACTGCTGCCTTAAGGGAACTACATAAACATGCACCTAATGTGCAGGCCTAAATTGAGGACTTAAGACCCAGATTATTGAAATTCACTTACAGATGCATTTACTTACTGGTGCCTAACCTGAAACTGTGCTGATACTGTGCCCAAGTCTCCAGATAAAGCTGATACTTAGCACCATTGAGTGCAGTACAAAGTGCTGCAGCCACAGTCATTTCTACTCAAAAGTTGGAGGTGGGGGTGATGGTGTCCTACATAATAGCCAATGCAGTGGTCCCCAACCTTACCTTGCTCTTGGGTAAGAACAGTAGCATACTGTAGACAACATTGAACTGTGCTTTTCTTGCCAGCTGCAGTTTTGACTTTTTAATTGGCTGTGACTGCAAATGACATTGGAGGATCTCATGGGTAATGTGTTGCCCATAAACCATGGGTCAAAGACCACAGTTGTGCCAATGCAGTGTTTCCAGCAGTCATGCCAACAAACCACCACCCCACCACTAGAGAGGAGTCAACTGATTTGCAAGGAATCTCACAGGCTAGATGTGGCCTGTGGAGCCAGAAAAGTTGTCCTGCCCTGCACCAAGCTATAAAATGGTCTGGGATGGAAGCAACCTCCACCCTCCTGTTGAAACAGGGTCACTGTATAGGAGTGAGGGATCAGGAGGAGAGCAAACAAAAGGCAGCATGAATCTACAGCCCAGTGTTTGGGGCACTAAATAGAACGGGAGAGACCTAGATTCTGGTCCCTGATTTTAGGATTGTTTTTGTTTTTCATTGAATATCTAATATAATATATATGTTAGGATAGGCACCTACATTTTTAAATATCCCAATGCCTGTTGGATGTGCCAATCTGGATTTTGCCTTGGGTCCCTTTCACTATCTTTAGGCATGCTGCCTTTGGAAAATTTGTCCCAGGTGACTCTTCTTGTGGTCTGTTTGGAAAAGCAGATAAAAAGCAGAATTCTCCATGCCAATTTTTGACAGAGCTACTTTACTAATAAGCATGACATTTAAAATACTTAGAAGTAAGAGTCCTTGATCTGAACTTATTTAAAAAACATGAAATTCTGAAGGAATGAGGCAATCAAGTGAATATGGTGGCAATTGGTGCTGTGGAAGTGCTTATTTACAACACCAGTATATATCTACATATAATACATATGTATCTATATATTTTTGCAGTGCTATTTTTTTACCATTGAATTTGGTCTCTGCAAGCAAGAAGGACAACTGCGTGCTTATGGAGCTGGACTTCTGTCTTCTATTGGAGAATTAAAGGTATGTGAGTGGCTACACACTTTTGTCTGAAACAAGTAACTTGAAACAGGAAAAATGATGAAGTGTGAATTGTTTTCCTTTCAAATAACCTTAAATATATAAGAATAAATATTCGCATCCCAGAATGATGACACTGACCCAAAAACTATGTTTGAAAAGTTAGCTAGCATGTGGAATGTGAAGTAAGTTGACAAGAACCAACGTGCAAAGACTAATAAAAATTGCAGTGTTTATTGTCTCCTTGATCTCCTTTGGTAGTCAATAAGACATTTAAATTTGTTGCAAGGTGAAGCCTATACTTTCTAGTTCTGTTTACTGAATAGGAAAAGTTTGAAGTAAAAAAAAGCTCCTGAAATCCTTATGTAATAAAAGATGCACCTATTTTGAATAGGGAAAATCTCTTCGTAACATGGAAATAAGGATAGATTTTGGATTATTTGAGGACTCCTGTGGGCTGTAATGGAATTACACATCTGAGTAAGATGAATTCAGCACACAGTCTGGAAATAAAGCCCTGATTCAAAATATTTCCCTCCATTGCACATGTTTAACTTTTTAAGTATTTGTTTTCAAGGGCCCCAGTCTTTCAGTGACAGAGGTGCTTAACTTGACTCAGTGAGAACAGTTACATTGGACAAACTCTTTGGCTACAGATAGATGTTGTATTTGTCCTGGGATAAACCATTATGAATGGTTTATTTTGGGACAAAGTGCATTCATTCATATGTCAGTGTCCCATTGTTCTGGCAGAAATCCTAAAAAAGATTCACGAGATAAGAAGAACCAACAGTTTAGACCAGGGTATCACAAAGTGCATGGGAATGGTAATCCTGGGATTGCATCATTGAATGAATGGCAGACAAATGGCAGCATGTTTAGCCATTCGCTAAACTCTGATTAGAAGGGCAAAGTGTGTATATGCCAGTTCCAGGGCATTTCTATTCCAGGACAAAGGCAGGTACAACTTGTAACATCTGTTCATAGCCTCAATGCATAAACTGAAGCATGTAGGTTCAGTATGATTTGACAGGTATACAGCTACAGCTTGTTAAATTTTTTTATATGAGAAAGATTTGGTTGAAATTTTTAAAGAATTATGAAATTAAAAATAAAAAGAATTTACAGAAAGATTTTCAGTGTTTCAGGCCCAGTCCTGCTTTGGTCTGATCTGCATCTCAAAACATTTTGGTTGGAATGAGGTAGTCTCTCTACTAGCCTTATATGAATATACTTTTTGAAAGCAGTAAAGCTAGTACGGATAAAGGAAACAACCTCTTGATTTTGTTTCTGTTTCCTTATGTTGTATTATCAGTGTTCTGAATACAATGTGGGCTTTCACTACAATGGCCATTTTACTCTTCAATGAATCAGAATTTAAGTAGTGGATTAAGGTGTCACATCTGCTAGGTGCTAACCATCTCTGGCCCCTAAATCTCTGGCCCAGTGTCTTTTGGGCTTGAGCCTCAAGGACTACACCAGTGATACTCAACAAGGGTGCCAGGGCACCCAAGGGTGCCATGAAATCCTTCGAAGGCTGCAGTGAGGTGTGAGGAGATAAACCAGGTGTGAGGCGATAAGCAGATAAACACAGGCTCAAATTCAATCCCTGCCTGGCCATTCCCTTGGCCCCTCTGCAAAGAGGTAAGCACTGAAATAAAGGAGTTAGGTTTTGAAATGAGGTGCCATTCAGTTCACAAGTTATGGAGAGGAACTTTGAATCTAAAAAAGGTTGAAAACAGTCCTCTTGCAGAATCAGACTCCTAGTTTCAACTAACAGTTAAGTGTTGTCAAGTGACAGCAGTGAAAGTGCCTACCCCATTATTTACAAATTCTGAAGACATAAATGCACGGAAAAGAAGAGGCAAGAACTTTGTATGTTTTATAGCATTCATGTAATAAACACATGCATTTTTCGTATTGTATTTCATCACAATACAACAATCCTGAACAAATATTATTTACTCAGCAGTTGTCTCAAAATAGAAGCACAACACACAACCCTTTTGAAAAGAACATAAAAATTATATAATGTGCACATTAATGGCATATATTGATCGTTTCAAAAGTAAGTCCACATATCATCATCATTTTGCCATAAATCAATATTATACACTTTTCCTATTATGTTACATATATATTTCATAGAATTCAAGGCCACAAGGGGCCATTAGATCATCTAGTCTGCCTCCTGTATATCACAGACTATTACATTTCACTCTGATATCCCATATTCTGAGCCCAATGGCTTATATTAGACTAAAACATTTCAGGGTCTCAAGAGACTCTAGACAGTTGTGTGCTGTAGGCAGAGGACAGGAGACATTGAGGACCTATAGTCCTCATACTGGCAAGGAATTGACTGGGGGAAAGATGCTCAGAGGATTTTAGCAGACCATCTATGGTCATTGCCAATCTGATGCGGGGTACAATTCCTTCCTGACTCCAATTCTGGAGGTCAGTTAGACCATGAACACATGAACAAAACATGCTAGCCGGACATCTCTTTAGCATCTCCATTTTGGGCAATCTCTGAAGCTTTAGAGGAAAGCGACCCATAGCCTCACTCTCCCTTTCACCCCTGAATACATTTGACTAACTGTGAACTGGAAGGGGAAATCCCTTACTGATCCCTGCAGGTGACTGGTTGAGGGCTATTTGATAATAGGCAAATGCAGAGCTGCAAGTGTTATGAAAACATTGAGGTTAATTCAGACAATTATCCTATGAACTATGAAAAAAAGGGAGGGACGTCCAAAAAAGACCATGATGGATAACTTTTGAGTATACAGTCCACAGATGTTCTCCTGGAAACTGGACTGAAGGACATCTTTTTGAAAAATGTTAAAATTCATTTTAAAGAATGAAAAGTATTGATGAGTCCAATCCCTCCTCTGGTTAGTAGTTTGAATTTTTGTTTACTGCTCTGAAATATATATATTATTTCCAGGTTTAATTTGTTTAACTTCACCTTGCAGTGGCCGAATATTGTTGTGCCTTTGTCAGCAAGACTGACAAGGCCTTACACTGTCAGATAGCTTTCAGTGCAACAGTATTCACATTAAAAAAATTGTTAGTTACGTGACTCTGGCAATAGCAGAGTAGGAATATTTGTGGCATGAATATGACCAGCAGAACTCAGTCCTTTTAAGTGACTTGGTGACACTTGTTCAGTTGTCATTGTTTGTCTGTTTTTTCCTGAATTATGTTGCTTCATTACATAAAATCAGCCAACAGCTTCAGCACTGATAAACTGAAAATCAAAGGAATGTAAGTACAAAATAACCTTTGAACAGATTACTTGTGTGAACTTTTTAAATATTTAGAGTTTGAATTTAAGGCATTAAAAATGCAATACCTAATGTTTGTGCTACATATGTAAAAAATCATTATGTGGAAAATGCAGAAAGCACCAACATGAGGAGAAACTAAAAAATATAAGGTGGGGAAAAGAACATTAAAAAATAAAGCAGTTTAAAAATATTCTGCTCCAGTACAGTCAGATTAATTCTAGACAAGGAATGTACTTGGTGCTGAGAAATAAAAGAAAAAGCGTACATTTCATTTTAGTTAATAAAATGGGGTTATGAAACAGTTATGACTAAAAGACATACTAAACTTTAAAAAAAATCCATCTGTTCAATTTCTCTGTTGTTCTCATAAGCCCTTTTATTAAAAAGGTCCTTCCACTGACTTTGCTGAGCTGTGGATCAGGTCCTGGGGCTTCAGGACCAGTTTGTTGTTAAATGCAGAGGCAGATTTCCAGTCCTCTAACTCTTTTAGTCAGAGTTACTCACAATAACTCCCATTGTTAAAAAGAGGTAAAATTAATATGTCCCTTTTCATAAGATATATATAAAAAAGCAGTGTATTCTAGTACAGGTTGTTGTGTTGTTTTCTGAAGAAGGTGAAGGGGATGGTTAAAAACTGTATGCCTGGTGCACATTTTTTACTAGCGCTCTTAACTAGAGAGTCTTTTTCTATTTGTCTAAAAATATATATAAAATTCTATTGATATCATAAAAAAGTTCTGGTAAAGTCGGCACACAATGTGGAAATGGCCCCTGTTGTAGATCAGCAGAAAAACATTTAAGAGCATATTTTTCACAAGACTTTTTATATTCTCCTGCAGAATAGCAAGACAATAAAATCACTATAGAGACACCGGCTACCTCTTCTCACCCATGTTCTTATTCTGGCCCATGGATAGAACAGCATTTATAACTCATCTCACATTTTCCCTCATATTTACTTGAAGGTTGTTAGGCATGGGGTTGGAAAGCCTTAATAACAGTGTTTTAAATTATTCCATTCCAGTCTTTATACTCTGAGGAACAAGCACACAGCAGAGCTGTTTTTAATATATCACTGAATGAGTATTTCTCGTGCCCTAAGTAGGCAGAGCTGGAAGTACTCTAGGGGTACCCCACCAGGAGAGAACAAATCATATTACTCTTGAGTGGCCTCATTGTCAAATACAGCTACTCTTCATGGATATCAGCAAGAATTGAACTCAAACTTGCTCCAAACCCTCACTGCTTGAGGTAAAGGTGAATTATAATGCCTGCACCAGTATAACAGCTTATTTCCTGTGTAAATGAGCTACTAAAGTCTCCTGTTATCACAAGACCTTGAGATGGTGGGACTTCCAGTTAACTGAAGGATGTAGTACACATACCCCATAGGTTTTACATTCCATGGAGATGTAAGTGAAGAAGATAAAGTTGAAGAAATATACAGTAAATCTTTACGTGTCCCAGTTGACTTAAGACATCTGGCCAAATAACATGCAAGACAAGTGGGTGGGTGGCGAACATAACTGGATATTATTTATTATTGTTGTATAAAATATTACATAAATTATTAATGTTATTAAAATACATTAAATATAACCAAATCTTGAGGACCTTCCCAATTCCATACTTTTCTCTACTGAGATTCTGTGCCTTGTAATGTTTATGTCATAGAGCACAGAATTTGTTTCACAGCATTTGGGACCACTT